CTGTATTATTTTTCTTTTCCCTGTTTTCTCCACAGCATTGTTATGTTTTGATGTTGTTACTGTCCTAGGATATTTCACATTATGGTCATTTGTTATGTGCGATTGAATGTTTTTTACTGCTTTTTAGGTGACATGGACACTTTTATGTTTTTTGTGGTTTTGTGATAATGTTCTGTGATGTATTTTTTTTTCTTTTGATTTAACTAAGGTTGGTTGTTTTTCTCTGCAGTATTTTCTGTTTTGTTGTATTCTTTTACTGTAGTTCTTTGTGCAGTGCTCCACCAGCACCACCTCCTTATCGGATGCTTTTTTGTGGTGCTTTGGAAGGTCTGTCTGTCTGATTGTTAATCAGCTCTGCCTCACAGGGCCAATACTCACCTGTGTTTCCTCCCAGGTGAGTATTGGCCCATGTGGTGGGTGATCTCTGGATTAGAGATCAAAAGGAGGAATGTTGAGAATATAAGTTTGGTTGGCATCACTTTAAAGACAGTCAACCTTTATGCATATGAAATATTAGATGTAGCATGAACATTTGAGTAGATTTCAAGTCAGGTAAACTTAGATAAAGATCCAAACTAAAAACAACTGGTGACTCTCTGAACTTACATAAATTTCTAAGGAGGGTTTTGCAGATAGACAGGGTTGCACTCCCTTAAGTGGTCTGCAGGCGCACGGAGTATGTCTGCTAGCAGGACCAATAAATTATTTGGTGTTGGTTTAAGAGTTCAGTGAAACACTAAAGCCTTTAAGACAAGTCTTCTATGTATTAAGATATTTCCTTTAACCATCTGTCTGTCTGTCTGTCTGTCTGTCTGTCTGTCTGTCTGTCTGTCTGTCTGTCTGTCTGTCTGTCTGTCTGTCTGTCTGTCTGTCTGTCTGTCTGTCTGTCTGTCTATCTATCTATCTATCTATCTATCTATCTATCTATCTATCTATCTATCTATCTATCTATCTATCTATCTATCTATCTATCTATCTATCTATATCTATCTATCTATCTATCTATCTATCTATCTATCTATCTTGTAATGGCTAATCTCTAAACGTTAATGAACCATTAAGGGGGAATTTCCAAGAACACACATTTTCAGTCTGAAAGCAGGATTTCATGTTGTTTGTTCTCAAAACTTTTAATACTTTTGCTTACATTTTTACTTTGAAAGCAGGACTTCATGTCTTTCTTCTCAAAACTTGTCATGCATACTCAAAAATCCTTGCACTCAGACATAGTCTCTGCTTGGATTCTCTGCTCACTTAGGAAACATTTTCTGTTTGCTTCTGTAACAAAACTGCATCATCGCCTGGCAACCTTTTAGCCAATAAAATAAAAGTATTGTACTGTGTTTGTTTCCTTCTAAGGGATGAATCCTGCTTGATGACCAAATGTTTTATTTAGCCTTTTTTTTCTCTAATTTTTGATTTGAATTACTTCAAACTGAAGATATTTTATTTCAAAGTCACAACAATGTATGAATTGTTAGTCATCATGGTTGGAGGTGGGGTATATAGAATGACACTGAAGAGGTCAAGGTTATGATCAGATAGGTTATGATGGAGAGGATTTTATAGCCCTGGACACATCATCATGAATGATGCAAAACCAGAAGCTGTGGTCACCAAACACAAGTGGGATGATAATAAATACTCTTTACAAAATGTGAAGTTCAACTTCACAAAAATTTGTAATGAGACCCTGAAGAAGTATTTGAGAAGTGGGAGGAGCTTTCTAATGAAAACAGGTATTTCATCCAGTTTAAGTACACACTTACCTTTACATGTTCTTATAAAAACTGCATTACAGGATTGTTAGTTACCATGGCATCAACTCATACAACTTTGTCTCTGCCACTCTGTAATGTCATTCATCCTACTAGGTCAACTAAGGTAAGCTTTTGTTTCTGTTTAAAAATGTGCATATAATACAAGAGAGCTGTTTGCAGGTGTAAAGATCCTAAAAGCTGTTGAAATGTCAAGTTGTTTGACTCCTCATTTTTCCCTCTGTGCTTCTCCTCCAGAGGACTTTCTGCCCTGTGGTCAGCTACAGGTTTCTATCCTAACAGAGCTGAGAAAGATGGAGAGGAGATCATCTGGGTGTTGGTAAATGCAACAATATCCCCAGTAATGACTTATTATATGGCTGAATTATGTTGATCTTTTGTTTGTTTCACACTGGATGAATTATGAATCATTCATGTTTCTGGTGTCAATGAAGCTGAGAATACATGAAAGCTGATAAATTCAGGAACAGACATGAGCAGAGGGGGCTTGAACACCTGTCTTTCTCACCTTGATGCCCAAAGTGCTTTTAAATTTATGTGTGTCTGGAGGCCTGTTCGTGCTCCTTAACAATAATATTTAACCATGAATAACAATTTAGCTAAATAACTTGATCTGGCTACCTGCCCCCAGTATGGAGTCCGCTAGGGGAAATTAGGTTTTTTTTTTCTTTGCATTACCTCGCAAAACCTTTCGGATTTCCACGCAATACATATTACATTCCCTCCCTTCCATTGAGAAATTATGAGTCAATGTAGTTGATTAAATTCTAAGTCTTACCACCATATATTCCTTTCAAAATGGCTTTAGATTCCTGTCTTCCTATATTCTTTGATGTGTTGACATGGTGAAGCTCATTGCTTGTTCTCCAAAACTTCCCTTTCAATTAAATTCACATTTGTTGTAGGAACACCTGTCAGAAATGGTTCTGTTTCACTTTTCACAGGAAACACACAAGACTACAACACTGACAAAGTGAAAGAAGAAGTTAAGTCTGCTTGTTTGTGAGAGACTCAAAATACATTAATCCTTTATGAACTCATGTAAGACATAAAACCCCCATGAATTAAATAAAAAATTAGAAATATGGACAGTTTTATATTTTATAGGCATTCGTCACTGCCATTCAAAATCCCCTGATTAGATTCTGGATAAAACAGGATAAGAAAAAACAAACTGTCAAATTATAACAGAATAACAACACTGGTAATATTAGCTCTTAGAAACTAAATGATTCTGATCTCAAACTAGAGGCAGATTTATAACTAAGTGGAAAAACATATATAAAAACAGGAAGCAGAGCAGAGATGGTAGAGAAATCCAAACAATACTCATGAGACAAAGGAAGCTAAACAGACAGGAAATAACCTGTACATAAAGTGAACAGAGAAAAATCAGGCTTAGTTAAGAAGTATATCAGTGAGGAGTCAGATCCAGCTTGTGGACTTTTATAACAGGCAGGGGCTACAGAGAAAAACAAATAGTGAGGTCATAAAGTTCCTGCAGAAAAGACATAGACTGTTTCTGCTGCATTTGCTGTTATTAAGCACAAAACCTGGATCTCCACTGTCGACACTGTTTTACAGTTCGTGTGTGCATGTGGGCGTGTGCATGTGGGTGTGTGCATGTGGGCGTGTGAGTGTGTTTCATGCTTTAGTCTCAACAGAAGGACCTTTGGTAACTGCTACTCAATTTATAGTCCAAAGGTGTGAGCAGATCTGAGTTACATTTCATCCAGTTGTGACCCGACCAAGGGGCGGGGTTCCTTTTATTTATAGGACGCACCAGAACACTGATTAAAACATAATAGTTTATTAAACAATTTCTTTAAAACACCTCTCTTTTTTAAAAAACACATTTCAGGCGTACTACTTGGTCCCTGGAAGGGAAAGGGATTCTCTGAAATAAAGACAAATTAAATCATTCCAAAAGAAATAAATGAAACAAAACATGCCATGCAAAAAAAGAAAACAAAAGAATAATAAATCCAATAACAAATAAGCACAGTCTGCAAACAAACAAAACACTTCAAACAATGGAATAATTGCTGATGTCCGATTTCAGAAGCCGCTCACAACAGGACCGAAGGAGTCACGCCCACATATCCAAAATAGCAGCAGGTTCCGTTCTGAACTGCTCACGCCACACTGACAGGACAAGACAGCAGAGCGTCCAAAGCGCTGCAATGCCCACAGCAATTGGTGCCTAAAACAGGAAATACATTACTGTGGATCTAGGAAAAGTAAGTAAAAATGAAAATGGCAGGTAGCTTACCCAGGAGTGGTAGCACAGTTCCCGGAGAGGAAGCGGACCAACAAGTGAGGACTAGATGGAAGCCACACGCCGCAACAATCTCCAGCTGCAACCGCCAATGCCACGCCAGCAAACAATGCTGCAGAAACGCACGGCAGGTATAGCACCAGAACCAAACCACAATCCCAGCCAGATGGTACAAATGGCACTTACGATTTCCAGTAAGCCGATCAAAACCACAGGCCACTCAGTCAGCCAGCATGTAGCAGAGGAGACAAAGACACACGCACCTTGCAGCGGCCTGCCTGGCTATAAAGGCACCTGCCCCGCCCACCAATCAACGGTGCACTTCTTGTTGCACCTGGTATGCAGAGTGAGGAGGGTGAAACACCATCCCACCACACAGTCACTCATAAACTCACATTGATAAACTGAAAACAAACATCAGGGACTGAAAATTAATACAGGAAAATAAGTACACCTTAAACTTAAGGAGTGGTTGACCTCTGATAAAATATATCCATAACGATTCTGTTTTAGTTCTGTGGGGTTCCATGTAGTTTTGTGTTTTTGTTATAAGTTGCGTTGTGATCTTTATTGTTATGTGTGCAGTGTTATGGGTTTTCCCTGACTGACTCTGCTGACTCTCACTCACATGTGAGAGAAATTGACTTCATGACGAGCCATAAATTAATTGTAGATATCTTGAATTGAAGTCTTAAAACTCAATGGCAAATATCAATAGCAAGTGTTTTATACCAGTCAGAATGGAATAAAAATATTTCAGATAAGCATTTTGTTTTCTCAAAATATATTGAGAGATATCTTAATTTAATTACTAATAGTAAAATTATTTCACATATCTGTCTGAAACGTAAGTTCGAGTTTACCAATTTTATGTTAGGACGGCTTGCCATACAACACGCCTCCAGGAAGCAGTCTTTTCTCAATCGTCTTTATTTATTGAAAAAGGTTAACAAACAGTCGTACGGAGACAAAAATCTGAGCAGGCGATACAAAAACATGTGAAACAGAATATGTTTCTGCTTTAGTGTTGGATTATGGCGATCAGCTGGTTTTACAAAGATTCTTGCGCTGAATGACAAAATGGGAAACTTTGTGTTCCTGCTTCTCCTGGGAATCCATAACACTGCAGCTGGTAAGTAGCAGCACAGTTTATTTTTATTTTGTTCGATGTGAACGCTATAAATAATTTTTAAAAGAGAGAATTTTCAGAGTCACGTAAACTTCATAAATTTACAATTAGGCTGCCTTAAACTTCTGATTTACAATAACCAGTCAGTTCAATTTAGGTTTTCCAAACACATATACATTTGAAAAAGCTGATGTTATTTGATATTTGTTAGTTAAGATTTTTTAGTCAATTTCTGCAGGATGATGCAGGAACTAGAGCACAAAAAACCAGAAAACACTGACAGAGGAAGAAAACTGCAATATGGTAAAGTGAAAAAATAGTGGGCCATAAAGAGGTTAAATTATCATAACTATAGATTATCTAATTTATTGTTTCACAAATGAGTAATGAGTACTTAAGACGATTTGGTTGTACATTATTATTTATATTGTTTTAGTTTTTCTTTCTCTTAATTTCAATATCAGCTTATTATTAAGAAAAGATATTTTATAAAGTTACAGCCGAATGTTACCTTTGTAGCAGATCTCCTAATTTAGAAGATATTTAGAACAAACTGAAGATATTTCTGTTGAGATGTTCAGTTAAGTTTTTATCTGCACAAAATTAAGCCAAACTGTATCTCATCTAAAAATACAATACAAATGTTTGAAGTTGCTTCTTTTTGAATCAGGTAGAATTACAGTAGAAACTGTCAAAAATTATTAAATCTAGAAAAGTATTTTGCAGTTTGTTTGTTTTGTTGTTTTTTTTTTTTTGTGCAAATTTTGGTCTGACCCCCATATTAAAAACATGACTGCTTTATTTTTCCTAAACTTGAAGCTAACATAATTCTTGGTAAACTTAAATTGAAGCTTTATGTAAAGTTAAAAAAATAAATAAATAAAAAAACCTAAATATTTTTTATTTCAAATGTAAAACCCTAAAATAAGTCATATCTGCTGATTACTACTTAGAGCTCTATAATTAAAATAAAGAAATGCTAAATAAAGATAGCAGTTTAAAAATAAATATAGTATAAGAATATGTATTAAATACTTAATTCATTAAATGTTTTATGTTTTGTAAATACACCCTTCAAAAATCATCTCATTTGAATGGTCTTTTTATGTAAAGATTGATTATTATTGATTATTATTATTATTATTATTATTATTATTATTATTATTATTATAGATGTTGCTTGGTTTGTCTAAATTTCAGAAAATGTTTATGTTGTTATTGTTTTACAAATTCTCAAATCATTGTCTTTTTTTCAGTGTCCCACTCTATGAAATATTTCTACACTGCATCCTCTAAGGTGCCAAACTTCCCAGAGTTTGTGGCTGTTGCTTCAGTTGATGATGTCCAGATGGTTCACTATGACAGTGACAGCGGGAAAGCAGAGCCCAAGCAAGACTGGATGAGGGAGAACATGGATCCGCTGTACTGGGAAAGAGAAGCTGGAAAATTTCGGCGTCACCAACAAACCTACAAAGCCAGCATTGAAATCTTGAAGCAGCGCTTCAACCAAACAGGAGGTTTGTGTTAATTTGATTAGTTGCTGATCATTTTTGAAGGACACACCGTCATACACAGACAATCACAACAATCCAATATGTAGAGACTGATCAGTGTAATAAATATACTGTAGAATCACAGTTGAAATTTACATTGATCGATGTGACATTTCCTTTATTAGCCAATATAATCACCTATTACATCATTAGTAATAAATATGAATAAAATGATTTAGTAGCAAGACATAAATCTAGAAATGTTTTTTTTAAACACCAGTTATATTATTATCATTATTGTGATAGTCATATCATTAACTATGACAGTTATATCAATATTATCATTAACTACTGATGGTTTTATCAATAGTTAATGAACATTGTATGTTCACGTTGAACATTCAATGTGATATTGAACATTGTATTTATTGAGAAGCCACCATTCTAAGCATTAGGTTCTATTTTCATTGGTGCTTTTTAATTCTATTTAATACTAAAGAATACCTATATCTGAGTTACTCAGAGTAACTCTGTCCTCAACAGGAGGACAACAGGAGAAGATTACAAGGATTGACAGATAAAAAATGTGTTTCTATGGGGAAAAACTGCTGCTAAGAAATGGAAACGGAGTAGAAGATGGAGCTAAATGGGAAGTGAGAGCCTCCACAGATGCAGCTATAATGACATACTGTCTTTGTATCTCCTGAGGTTATAAAATTACGGTTGTTTGTTGTCTTTCTGTACCATAAAACTTCAGCTCTCATGTCCTTGGGTCATAAAACTAGAGTTTCTTGGGACATCTAGACTTTGAAGTTTTGCTCCTGCTAGGTGTCCACTGCTCTCCCAGGCTGGCATCTGTCCTGTGACTGCAGGCATTCTGCTCCTCAAATCGGCCTGCTTCCTGCTGCTCCAGAGACAAAAGAACATCCAAGCAAACAAAGATCTCTCAATCCTTAAAAGTTCCTAATCTTTAATATTTACATTTGTATTTATCTAAAAACCCAACAGATAGGAACATCAGTGACAAAACTACAATGTTCAACTTTCTTGTGTCTTGTTGCTGTCCTGTGTTCACATCTGTGTGTGAATTGGAAATTTCACAAGCACACAGAGTTGACAAGTGACTCTTGTCTTACCGCACAAGTTCCATAGAAAATGAATGGAGTTGAGAATACAACTTCTCCATTGTAACAATTAACGATATCAAATAAACCAATCTTTCCACATTCAGTTACTAGTGGACATTTCTTCATTGGAAAAATATCATCATGGAGACTAATAACTTTAAATACAATACCCTGTTCAAACACACTGACTCAAATTATGTAGATCTGTTTCTTTGTGAATATGTGGTAAACTTAGAATGAAAAGTCAGGACCTAACACAATCCACCTCCTGTCTTTGTTTATCTGGGCAAAAGTGTTTCTTGCATAAAATTCAATGTGGACCAAATAAACCCCAGAGTATTTGAACCCTGCTAAAGGAAACACCTTAACAGAACTTCCCCATGTTCTACCTGGACCTGATAAGCTATCTACACTGTAGCAATTAACATTAGCAAACAAATCTTCAACTTGAAAGTTTATTTTATATCTAAACAGTGGGGAACTCTTAATATCTATTGGTCATAATGGCAAGCAAACTATATTTGATATTATTCTTAATATCTGTCTTGAATTTGGACTTCTGCTACCTCTACCAGTGTTTATGTTTTGGTCATTTAATGTATGTCTCTAAATGTCAATGAAGACATCGCCACCAAACTGGAGAAATCCAAACTCTTGACCAATAAAAGTAAGATCTTCAATTTGTCTGCAAATGTCTTGTTTGTTGAGGATAAATGATATCTGCTGTATGAGTCACTTTTTGACTCTCTGCATTCATTGATTCCATTCAAAACATTTGTTACTAAATTTAGCTTCAGTTTAGGCTGTAGTTGTTAAAATTATGTGAGGTTTTAATGACTTCTGTGTCGCCTTGTGTTCCCAGGTGTTCATGTTTACCAGTGGATGTATGGCTGTGAGTGGGATGAGGAGACCAAAGTGAAAAAAGGCTTTATGCAGTACGGGTATGATGGAGAAGACTTCATAGCCTTTGACCTGAGCACGAAGAAATGGATCGCTCCAACACCTCAAGCTATCATCACCAAAAACAAGTGGGACAATAACATAGGTTGGATTATACATGCAGACACTTTCCTCAACCAGAGATGTCCTGATTGGATAAAGACATATATGATCTATGGCAGAACCTCTCTTATGAGAACAGGTAGAATCAGGTGACCTATTAGTTCACTAAAGAAGTATTCATTTATCTGTAATTGTAATGTTTTGGAAAACAATGAGTATCATACTTTCTTGCTTTAGATGTCATTTATTCTTTATCTTGGCGACTCTGATTTCTTACTTTCTATTTGGCTTATTTATAAGAGATTCCTTCATCTTTAGTCTTACATTACATTTGAAAGAGTTGACAAGTATCATGAGTATTTCTAATCAGCTTATCTGGCTTGGTAATTAAAGTAAAAACAGATTGTTAAAATCAAAATGTCTGACAGAGAAATTCCATTAGATCAAAAAAGCATAACATTCCTGAACTCTTAAACTTTGTTTTTTTTCTCATAATAGATAAACCCTCAGTCTCTTTCCTCCAGAAGTCGTCTTCCTCTCCAATCAGCTGCTTTGCTACGGGTTTCTATCCTAACAAGGCTGAAATGTTCTGGAGGAAAGATGGAGAGGAGATTCATGTTGGTGTGGACAAAGGAGAGATCCTCCCTAACAATGATGGGTCATTCCAGATGAGTGTTGATCTGGATCTGCCATCTGTTTCATCTGAAGACTGGAACAAGTATGACTGTGTGTTTCAGCTGTCAGGTGTCGATGAAGACATCGTCACCAAACTGGAGAAAAACAAAATCTTGACCAATGAATGTAAGACCTTTATCAAAATTGTGGATGAACCAAAAATTACTTAAGTAATTTAGTTGACTTTACAAGATTTTTGCAGACAATTTAATTGGTTAAAACAGAAACTGTTTAACCTATTAAATGTCATTTTAAGTATTGGTTTCGTAAGTAAAACCATATAATATCTAAAGTATTTAACCTGCCCATGTACTTATAACTAATGCTAAATCTAAGACCTTTTCTTTAAAATAATTTCTTAATTTCTAAAGGAAAGTGAAATAATTTCAAGTAATTATAGGTTCAAAGTTTTTAGCAGCAGCAGTGCAGACTTGTACATTTTATATAAATTATTAACAAATTGAGGTAGCATGGCACATGATTGCTGTTTGGTTAAGAAATAAAATGTCCAGTAATGTTTTGGTTTGTGATTTATTTCTCAGGGAATTGGATCACAGTAATCACCACTGGAGCAGTGATTATTGCTGCTGTTGTTGTCGCTGCGGTTGGAGTCATTTTCAGAAAGCCAATCAGTGAGAAAATATTCAGTGAGTTTTTTTTTTATCATTTAATCCTGAATCCATGTTATTGTGCAGATTACATTTTGGACACTAGTATAAGAATCATTAATATATATTAGATATATTAATGATTATATATTAGAATGATTATATATTAGAATTTCAGGTTGAAGTGGCAAACAAAAGGTGGTTATTCTGCAAACTAAAAATATTTTTTTCTTTTTACAGAAGCCAAGTGGCTTCCAACTCGTAAGTAAAACGCATTTCATAATTTTCTCCAAAATTTAAAATGTGTGATGCAGTCCAAAGATTTATTAATAATGTTGTTTTTTATGTTGTGTAAAACAAAATATCGGCTAACACTTTATTTCTCCTTTCACAGCAGTCAGTATCCGTGAAGTCCAAGAAATAATGATTCCCAAACAAAATGGATCATCGGCATCATGCACACAGTGAGTTGTGCTGATCAGAGCCGTTCAAAATAATGTTTGAGTTTTATTTACATCTCTGACAGTGTTGGTCTAAAAGAAATATTCATATCCAGTGTTTGAAATCACTTTAATTTATAGGTCAAGTGTTTTAGATGAATTTGAGTGACATCATATTAGACGTCATATAGAAATGTCATAAATCTTCACACATGCAGATAAATAATGTTAACTGGAAGAAACTGTGAATCAAAATGAACAAAATATCAAGGTTCAAAAATATTCTTGATGCATTAATGAATCTTTATTTTTTACTTGTTTACAGAAAATATAATTTTTATGTCTTGTTCTGGTTTGTGTAAAATGTTATTTTCATTGAAACATTTTCATATTTTCCTCTGCAAACAGGGAGATTATGTGATCAATGTTTTAAATCAGATTGTTTTAAACAAGGTTCAGACATTAGCAAACTGAAGAGTGAGTTTCATAGTTTGAGGTTTTATTTCTGATAAATTGTTGAAAAGTTTGTCAACTGAACAAAAATGTTTAAAAAAATAGGTTTTTGGAAACCTTTACTGTTTATGAAGCAAGTTCTTTCTGTCGTCAGAGGTTCCTGTAAATATTTGAATAATAATTATTGATGAGACAAATTTAAATAATAAAATACAGTCACACATAACTTTGTCTTGTACAAAGTAATTTTCGTTGTAGTCTGACAAGTTAAAAACATTGAATTTATATCTGTAGGTAATTTGGTGCTGATCATTCATGATGTTTAAATTTGTGATTAAAATACGTCGTGTCCAGAATATTCCTTCTTTCTCATCAAGAAAGAGACGGACGCCAGCTTAAGGACCAGGAGGCATTAAAAAATTAAAGGACTTCAGATATTCTGTTGTTGTTGTTGTTAAAGTGACTTTAGTGTTTATCTGGTTTGATCTGGTAAATTAGCATTAGCATCAGTCATTTAACCTTCTGCATGTTATATTTCTTTTTGTATGACTTTCAGGTCATATTTCACTGCATGCTGTTCTTCATACTAATGTGTTAATTTATGTTTACAAAGTTTTATATCAGAATAAAGTGACATATATAATCAATGAATCTGTTAAGAAACACAAAAAGGCAGTTACATTATTTTGTCCATCATGTAAATATTTTACTTGTTTTACTTTGTGAGTTTTTTTCTCTATTTGTTTTATTTAATGATCTAATTGTGATCCTCAAATAATTTCTTTTGCTGTTTGTTCTTCAGTATATTTGTTACTTGTGTTTTGAAAAGTATTTTTATCTTATGCTGACTTTTACATTTTGTCTTTAGTCGTGATTAATAAAAAACTGGTTAAGGTAACATTGCTTTATTTTGCATTGAATATTAAATTAAATTTCTTTTTTCTGAAGCCAATGATTATGCAATGTGGAAACTTTACAATACATTATGCTTTTATTTGAGAATCTTACCATTTACCTCTTCAGAGGGTTCAGTCCATCACTTCCTTCAATATTATGACTTTGGTCTCAAAGTAAATAATTCTGGCTTCTGATGTTCAGTGTGAACTTGTTGGTTTATTAAATCCTCTGTTAGATTTGTTAAATAAATGTCTTAGTGCCAATGTTTTCTCAATCTAAACACCAAAAGCACAACTTGATAATCAGCAACCAGGATAAAACTTATTTCTCTAGGAGATATTGGGAAGTGATGAGTGATGTTCCTTCACCCCAAGGGAGAAACGTCACAACTTGTTGGATTGAATTGTTAATGGGAACCACAGAGAAGTTAAAACCATAAGTTAGACGGAAGAAAATGAGTGACACAGCAAAAGAAAAAGGGAGGAGACCATGTATTAGAATAAAGAAAGAAGATATTATATCGAGGGTTAGATTTGGTCACACTGGTTTAAATAACACACTTAAAATAATCTCCAAACATACTACAGGTTGTATTTATTGTGGCCAAATGGAAACAATAGAACATATTGTCTTTAGAAATTAAAATAAGAATAAAAGAAAATTAGAGGTATCCAGCAAAAAGAATTTTTACATAAAAAAAAAAAATGTCGGTAACAAAAATATGTAATTTCATTCTACTGGCTGTGTATTTCAACATTTATTGTACTTAATTTAGGAGCAGCATTTATATTCAGTGAAATTTAGGTGAACATCAATTGTTGAAAAGCTTAATGTACCAAACATGATATTTCTCCATTGTTACCAACAAAAAAACATGGGTAAGAGGCAAAGAGGAAGATAATATTTGAGAAAGATTTAGATTTGATCATACAGGTTTGAACTGCAGTCTGAACACAATGGGAAAGCATAAGGGGCTTCAATGTGTTTTGAAAAGTGTTTTTATCTTATGCTGACTTTTACATTTTGTCTCTAGTTGTGATTAATAAAACAGTGGTCAAGGTAATATTACAACTGACCAATAAAATAGAAACATGGACTAAATGACGACAAAGATGCAAGTTGGTTAATTAAGAAAGAATTTATGGATTGTATAAAACATCAAAAAAATACATATTTATTACGTTTTGTGAGCAAAACGTACAGTTTAATTTGGTTGAATTACATCGTTTAAATTCTTTTCAGCTTCTTATAAAATCTGAACTTTGACGTTAAAAACAATTCTGGTTCATACTCCAATCCAACAGGTGGCGGTAGTGCACTGTTGAAACCATTTGCAAACCGCCAGAAAAATCTAAGAAGAAGCGGAAACGAAGAAGACGATCTTTTCCTTCAAAACAAACAAAAACAAAATTTGTCGACTAAGAAAAAGTTTCTTTTTAGAGACACCTAAATGCGATCATTTTTTAAATTAATAAACAGATCTTATAAAATAGAAACGGAAATGTTTCCAACCCCTTGCACTAATAAGCACCAGATATAAATGTTTAAATGCTTTTCTTCGTGTTCCTGTTTCTTCTTGGGCTACAAAAACGTGATGGCAGGTGAGTCACACATTTGATCATATCAGACCAAAACAGCGTTTATGGGTCACTGTAGTCAGCTTAGAAAAACATTCATGGTATTCATGGTATTCATGGTATTCATGGTATTTATGTTTACTGGAGCTTTCAAAGTGAAAGTGAAAGCAGTCAAAACAAATACATTTAAAAATTGTAATCTAGGTGAGACTTTCTTGTAGGATTTCAGAATGAAAGCCTCACAAACACGGTGCAGTTGTTCATGTAAATCATTTAACAAGAAAGCTTCCGGCTTTCTTTGTCTGATTTCTGTCCAGAGTATCGTCTATAGATGTCACTATAACATCTGATGTGTCATTTCAGTAAATGAGTGATCCTGTTGCCTTTATGTAACCACAGATACTGAAAATTATTTCAAAAAGTAACAGTCTTTCTCAGTTTTATTTAATCCAGATTACCTGTGTGTAGACTACCCCATCTATAATATATTACTGTAAGGTTTCATGTTTTTGATGCAGAATTTAATTATTAACTCTGTAAGCACTGTCCATCTGCCTATGAATAGTCACCACATCAATATCCAGAGTAAAAGCAAACTGTCTGTTATCTCAAGTTGCTTTATACCCTGATTAAAAGCACAGCATTTATAAAGTCGCTGCAACATTACCAAACATATCTGATGAGGAAATTTCAAATTAAAGTCACCTGAATATGTGAATAACATCAATTGTTATCAATGATTTGTAACTCTAGTAAAAGGCAGCTATTGGTTAGTATCAGCTATTGTTTGTACTAGAGCTGCATGATCTATTATGAATATATTGTTATTATAATATCATTATGTCCAGTGTTTATATTGTAAAGTACTGTCTGAAGAGCAATAGTTGCTGGATGATTTTAAGAGTTTCTAAGTTGTACTTTCATGCAGATGTAATTTTAATCAGTTGAACAGAGTTTTATGTCAGCAAGAGTTCAAACCTGCTGACACCAATGACATTGTCAAAAACGTTAGAAGTCGCATAGAGTAGGAGGCACAGGTTAGAAAGAGAGGAAAGGAGAAAATAGATATTTATGGCTCCTGATATTGTCATCACAATATTTACTAATATTGCCACTGCAAGAGTTTTAATACTGTGCAGGTTATAGAATTCAAAATGTATATATGTCAAAAACTGTTCATGTAAAACTTCAAAATTTGTACCATACCCAACATTGGCTGTCACAAATGAGTCGTGTTATTTCAAAATTTACTGTAGTTCTTAGCTAATGAACATGAGCTCACTATTTGAAAAGGCATTTGTTAGTAATTATATGTCCTGGATGTATAGTTTCTTGTAGTTTCAGGGCTGCCTCTCATATTAATGATGTCTTCTCTGCTGAGAGTGTCGTCTCTTCTGCTTTTGTTGGGGCAGCAGCATCAGAACCCAGGAACCTTAAACGGCACAAGAACCTGATAAAGAAGGCTGGTTATATGGTATTTTAATGAAGAGTGTTTTGTCACTCTGGATTTAGTTGAGATAAAAATAAACAAGCAAAAATTTATTTCCAACAAATTGTAATATGTTTAAAAATGGTCAAAGCAATGTAGCAATAACCTTGATTTAATTACTTCATTAATTTATTTAATCTTTTTAAATTTATTTTAAAATTTTCTGTTAGGATCAAAGGATAGCCTTTTGGTTTCATGAAGTGACTTGTGAAGGTTGTTGGTTCATGGAATTTTTACATCGAAACTGAACCATGTAAAAATTTAGTTGGCTTAAAATTGCTTTGGACAGAAAAATAATCATGAATTTATAAAATTAGATATGTTTTTGATGTCAGTTTTATGTCAGAATATGATACCTTGAGTTTAAATTAGTTATGAGTCATACTGGAGTTGAAATTGTAAAATATTCAGAAATGTGCTTTTTCTTACAGTGACCCACTCTCTGAAGTATTTCTACACGGCATCTTCCAGAATACCAAACTTTCCATCCTACGTCTCTGTTGGATTTGTGGATGAAGTTCAGATAAATTACTGTGACAACATCATCAACAAAAAAACATCCCTAAACAGGACTGGATGAATGACCTGAGATCAGAATATCCAAAACTACTGGGAGGAGGAAACGGAGACATGTCTGGCTAAACAGCGAACCTTAAAAAAAAACCTAGAAATTGCAAAACAACGCTACAACCAGAGCGGAGGTTTGTTTATGAAGGTTTTATGAATTAGTTTGTCACAATAAAATCCACATTTAGGGTATTTAATAAATTGTATTTAAACACTCGGGTTAAATAAAGTCTCTCTCTGTCTCAGGAGTGCCCATCTTCAGCAGATGTATGGCTGTGAATGGGACAATGAAACTGGAGAGGTCAAAGGTTATGATCAGTTTGGCTATGATGGAGAAGATTTTATTGCACTGGACCAGGAAGGAGAATCATGGATCGCTCCTAAACCACAAGCTTTCAACACCAAACACAATTGGGAAAATAACAGAGTTGCACAGAAACTTGAGAAGATCTATTTAACTCAAACATGTGTTGAGTGGCTGATGATGTATGTGAGATATGGGAGCAGCTCACTGATGAAAACAGGTACTGCAACAGAGCATGACATGAAACATTAAGTAGTGTAAACTACACAACTATGTTTGTGTATTAACAAAAACTGCGCCACGGTTAACCATGTAAATACTGGCCTGGGTATTTACTACATTGTCATGTCACTGATGTTTTCTATGATAAATCTGCAGAAAGTAACTTTTACAAAGTATGTTTTTTACTTATTTATTGAAAAAAAGCAGGAGCAGAGCAGTCATCTTCTCTGAGTGTGGACCAAAAGGTTGGACAAAATCATGTGCGACTTTTTATTTCTCTCCCAAACTTTGAATGGAAACTGATGATCGTTATGCTCATGTTGGATAGCTGCACATATCGGAGTCAAATGTTAACTGCAGTTGTGCTGCTGGAGCATCATAAACTGAACCTGTTATAAATGGATCATCTTTGATTACAGCCACATGCTGCTCCTCTGATTTGACGTTTTGCAGGATGTTATATTCATTGCTTTAAAGGTCCATAAATGGTCCTTTTTGAACCAGATACTATCAAATAGTAACTAAATCTATGAAATAACAATTGCTACTCAAATTGTTACTTATTAAATTACAATATTCCAGAAGTCATAAGCAAATTCTTGTTGAACCCAAAACAAATTCTCAACGCTCCTTGTGGTTTTGCTGTCATCTGAACAAAAACACAATTCAGTAAAAAACAATCAGTCAGAACCAGGGGGAGGATCTTAGCGCAATCAATCACCCTGTGTACGTGCTGCTCACACCTTGTCTTTTTCTCTGTTATGCTACAGTATCTC